CTTGACTCTCAGGTAGAAACTTTGGGGCACTCTTTGAAGTTCTTTGTGTTGGTCGAATAGATGAATCTGAGATTGTGTGATGCATATCGTATAATCATACCCACGGATACTTGAGGTGACATTGGAGTATCTAGGTGACATTAGGGTTTTGGTTGATTTGTGTCTTAAAGTGTTATTCTAGTACGAACTCTAGGATAGATCGAACGGAAAGAATAGTTTCGTGTTATTTAACTACGGACCCTTGAATAGATCGATCCGAAAGAATAACTTTGAGGTGGTTTCGTACCCTACAATAATCTCTTTGTTTGTTCTCCGCTATTAGTGACTTTGGACTGACTCTTTGTTGCATGTTGACCGATTGTTATATGATCCAATTATGTTATTATTGTTGAGAGAACTTGCACTAGTGAAAGTATGAACCCTATGCCTTGTTTCAACGCATTGCAATACCATTTTTGCTCACTTTTATCATTAGTTACCTTGCTGTTTTTATATTTTCAGAATACAAAAACCTATATCTACCATCCATATTGCACTTGTATCACCATCTCTTCACCGAACTAATGCACCTATACAATTTACCATTGTATTGGGTGTGTTGGGGACACAAGAGACTCTTTGCTATTTGGTTGCAGGGTTGTTTGAGAGGGACCATCTTCATCATACGTCTCCCATGGATTGATAAACCTTAGGTCATCCACTTGAGGGAAATTTGCTACTGTCCTACAAACCTCTGCACTTGGAGGCCCAAAAACGTCTACAAGAAGAAGGTTGTGTAGTAGACATCAAGCTCTTTTCTGGCGCCGTTGCCGGGGAGGTGAGTGCTTGAAGGTATATCTTTAGATCTTGCAATCGAATCTTTTAGTTTCTTGTTTTATCACTAGTTAGTCTATAAAAGAAAACTACAAAAAATGGAATTGAGGTTGCCGCATATGCTTCATCTTTTTAATGTATTTCGTAAAAATAAGGATTCTGATAATTGTGCCAAAGTGTTAGAAGAAGAATGTATTAAAATGTTTGGCACTAAATCTTTGGATGATAAGCATGATTGCAATGTTTTTAGTATGAATTCTTTGAATATCCATGATGCTAATGATATGCAAAGCCACAAGCTTGGGGATGCTATGTTTGATGAAGATGATATTTTTTGTCCCCCAAGTTTTGACGAGCAAATTTATTATGATGAAAGCATCCCTTCTATCTATGATGATTATTGTGATGACACGTATGCAATAAAGAATAATGATATCCATGAAACTTGTCATCATGATTTTAACTTTCAATTGGATTATACCTCACATGATAGTTATTTTGTTGAGTTTGTTCCCGCTACTATTCATGAGAAGAAATTTTCTTATGTAGAGAGTAATAAAAATTATATGCTTGTAGATCATGAAAAGAATGCTTTATGTGATGGTTATATTGTTGAATTCATTAATGATGATATTGAAAATTATTATGAGAGAGTAACATATGCTTTTACATATTGCAATAATATCAAGTTTCCTCTCTATGTGTTGAAAATCTTGAAGTTATCCTCGTTTTACTTTCCTATGCAAGTTGATTCTTGGTCCCACAAGTTGTTTGCTCACAAAATCCCTATGCATAGGAAGTGGGTTAGGCTTAAATGTGCTAGTTATATTCTACATGATGCTCTCTTTATGTTTCAGTCCCTATCTTTTATGTGAGCATCATTGTTATCATCATGACTAGCTAAGGGCGTTAAACGATAGCGCTTGTTGGGAGGCAACCCAATTTTATTTTTGCTCTTTGCTTTTTGTTCCTGTTTAGTAATAAATAACTCATCTAGCTTCTGTTATGATTGTGTTTTTATGTTTTAATTAGTGTTTTTGCCAAGTAAAGCATTTAGGATCTTCTTGGGTGATTGTTGTTTGATCTTGCTGATAAAAATAGAAAGTATGCGCTCATGAAAATAATTATCATTTTTTACCAGAGAGCGATAAAATACCAATTCCAACTACAGTAGATCAACATACTTTTTTATCTTGGTCTTCCTAATTTTTCAGAATTTTTGGAGTTACAGAAGTATCTAAAATCTCCAGATTACTACAGACTGTTCTGTTTTTGACAGATTCTGTTTTGCTTATTTTGATGAATCTATGAGTAGTATCGGAGGGTATGAACCATACAAAAGTTGGAATACAGTAGATATTACACCAATATGAATTTAGAATGAGTTCACAACAGTACCTAAGTGGTGATTTTTTTTTATACTAACGGAGCTTACAAGTTTAAGTATTGTGTTGTGAAGTTTTCAAGTTTGGGTAAAGATTCGATGGACTATGGAATAAGGAGTGGCAAGAGCCTAAGCTTGGGGATGCCCCGGATGGCATCCCCTCTTTTGTTTTCGTTCATCGGCAACTTTACTTGAGGCTATATTTTTATTCACCATATGATATGTGTTTTGCTTGGAGCCTCATTTTATTTTCTTTTATTTTGCTTGTTGTTTGAATAAAATACCAAGATCTGAAATTCTTAAATGTTAGAGAGTCATCACATAGTTGCATAATTATTCAACTACTTATTGATCTTCACTTATATCTTTCGAAGTAGTTTGTCGTTTGCTCTAGTGCTTCACTTATATATTTTAGAGAACGAGTGTGGTTTTATTTTAAAGAAATTAATGAACTCTCATGCTTCACTTATATTAAGCTTGGGGATGCTTGATACGTCTCCAACGTATCTATAATTTTTTATTGTTCCATGCTATTATATTATCCATCTAGGATGTTTTATATGCTATTTTATATGATTTTTGGGACTAACCTATTAACCTAGAGCCCAGTGCCAATTTCTGTTTTTTCCTTGTTTTTTGAGTTTTACAGAAAAGTAATACAAAACGGAGTCCAATTGACGTGCCAATTTTTGATGATTTTTTATGGACCAAAAGAAGCCCGCGAAATAAAAAAGTTAGGCCAGAAGTGTCTCGAGCCGTCCACGAGGGTGGGGGGCGTGCCCTACCCCCTGGTGTCGGTCTCATGTCAGGGGGATCTCCGAGTCGTCCATGAGATAGACTTACACATATGAGCACCTTCATTCAAGAGACTGGGCTGACATATTTTGAGATTGGCGAAGTCATCACATGCACCTCGTAGTCAATGGGCACGGCATACCACTAAAAGAATAGCACGGGAGAACCTGAAATAAATGCGAGCATATGTGTAAGTCTATGACTTGAATCCCGATGAGTTGATTCCATACAAACAAAATACCAAGAGCAAGTATAATAAGGTGACGTAGGCGGGCTGTAAGACTTTAAATATTATATCTTTGCTGAGTTGGATGAGAGAGAAGAGGGAAGAGAAGGTCATCGGGTTGTAGACGACTGTAGCACGGGCTCCAAGAAACTATGTGAAAGTGTATGGTGGGCCATATGATAGAAACATAATATTTTCTTGTAGCTCACTACTACTCCCTTCGTTCCTAAATACATGTCTTTCTAGAGCTTACAATATGAACTACATATGCGAAAAGTCCATTCTGCACCCGAGCTCATATGCTCCCGCATGAACAGTAAAATAAAAAAAAATCGAAAAAAATTCAAAAAATTCCAATTTTTTTTGAGAAAAACATTGACAAAAGTTCTAAGTGCCTGCAAAAATTCATCATGAAATCACATTCCTGTAAGGCGTGGCCAAAAAAAAAACAAATTCAGTGCTTCAAAATGCATTTGAAAGTAGCTTTTTCAGAGTACTATTTTTGTTTTTTTTTGCCACGCCTTCTACGAATGTGATTTCATGACGAATTTTTGCAGGCACTTAGAACTTTTGTCAATGTTTCTCTCAAAAAAATTTGGAATTTTTTGAATTTTTTTTTTATTTTTTTTTCGATTTTACTGTTCATGCAGGAGCATATGAGCTCGGGTGTAGATTAGCCGCGTCCCTACATATGAATGTATATAGACGTAGTTTAGAGTGTAGATTCACTCATTTTGCTTCGTATGCAATCCATATTAAAATCTTTAAAAAGACTTATATATAGGAACGGATGGAGTATACATGTTGATTATTACGTTGGCTACAGATGACATGGCTACAAGTTATAACCATCAGTCGGCTATATTATTAACCATACTCTAACCATCTGAGCTGAGCTGGGCTTTGTTGGCATACGTTAGCCAGCTAACGGCAAGACATTCGTCCGCAGTGGCGGAGCTACACCCCAGGCCTGGGGCCTGGGCCTGGGCCCGGGTCGTGGCAGGAGTATCCTTCGTTGACTGTAGTGGTATTGTTACTGTTGGTCGTTGTATATTATTGTACTTCCTCCGTTTTTAAATATAAGTCTTTGTAGGGATTTCACTATAAACTACATACGGATGTATCTAGATGTATTTTAGAGTATAGATTTACCCATTTTGCTCCATACATGGTCTGTAATGAAATCTCTTTAAAGACTTATATTTAAGAACGGAGGGAGTAGCAACGAAGGAGGCCTGGGGCTCAGCGCTAGCCTGGCTCCGCCCCTGTTCGTCCGGCCCACTCTGCTAGGTACGGGTCCGCTTAAAATGACCTCGCGAGTTACTGGTGCGTATGCGCGTGCGTGCAGACCTGTATTACGTGGAGGACCCAGTGACCCGTGCTTCCTGGCCAAGAAGTGCTCGTGTTGTACATAACTGCATGAGTACAGCACAAAGGGCAGAATGAGGCCTTTCTCTTCCCGGCCGTCGTGGATTGATGTGCCCGTGCGTCGGCCGAAAAGTTGGTTGGAAACCAAACCAAGGCCCGTGCCAGGGTTTCAATCAGTCTTTGAGTTTGTGAGATGAATCAAAACAGAAGAGCGGCGTACTTATACGCAAACGAAGCAAAATGGATTTCCATATCTCGCCTGATCTCCCAGCTGCCCCAGCGTGCGCGCACTCAATGCGCGCCCTGTGTATATCCTCCTCCTCCGCTCCTCGTGCCAGTACAAATAGCGCACGCACAGGCGCCACTAGCCCTGTACAGTGACACGCTGACACGGCACCTTTGCAGCGAGTGATCATGGCTGCTCGTCTCCCTCTGCTCTGGGCTCGTGGCCGCCGCGTCCTCCTTCTCGCCGTCGTGCTCTCCCAGCTCGGCGCGCTCTCGTGCCAGACCCTCCGCGGCTCCGTCACCTGCCTCGACTGCCCCGCGGGCCACCACCTCTCCGGTACGTGACATGCATCGTCTGATCGTGGTGACACTTTGCTCAAATGTACATGTACCAGGTGTGGTCATGGGGGTGGAATGCAGCGGCGTCGACGGCGGCGGCGCGGGCCCGCACGTCGTGGCGCGGACGGACGGCGGCGGCAACTTCAGTGTGGCCGTGCCGGAGTCGGTGCCGGCCTCGCGGTGCGCAGCGAGGGTCCTCGGCGGCACGGAGCAGCTCTGCGCGCCGCAGAGGCTCACCGTCGCGCGTGTCGTCGCTGCCGGGCGGCCTGGCTCGTACGCGCTGGGATCCCGCCTCGCTGTCTTCACAAGGTGTGAAGGAGTCGTCGCGACGATGTCCGCCGGTGGTGGCAGCGGCCAGAGGTCACCCCCGACCCCGAGGCTTGCACCGCAGTTGCCCTCGCCCAGCGTGCCGCCGCTCGTTGGACGCAGCAGCCCACCCTACGGCCTGGGCATCCCTCTCATCTACGTCTTTCCTTTCATCCCAATCATTGGCATCCCCTAAAATGAACGTAGCCGCCTTCTCCTTGCGGTACTCGCCTGAGTATTTTGTTATTTTCTTTCAGCCAAGTTTGCAGTAATCCCTAGCCATCCATGTCAGTGAGGTCACCTTATGTATGAACAACGACCAATAATGTGACTGTGAGTCAGCATGTTGCGACCAAATATTCTTCTCATTACAATCATTCTTTAGTGTGTGATAGCACTGAATTTCCAAGATCGACCCAAAGACGAAGGTTTAGAACTCGAAGAAACTTAAACACCATCAATGAAGGCATGCAGTTAAACAGTCCAAAAAAGAAGAGTGACCGAACTTGTGATAATCTGGTACTAGCTGGTGTAGTTGCATATGTTGCACTGCCAAAGTGGAGTGACAATCGGCGAACTTTATCAGGAAGTAGCATTGCTGTTTGAGAATAAATCCACTACAGTGATGAAGTTCTCTTCAATAGACTTGTATGTAATAAAATCAAGAACCATATGATGGACTGAATAAGACAATAGATCATAACTGTAGTTGATATCCATAACTTGGATCAGGCCCATACAGACAAGCTCATCAAAATAGCTTCTTGCAACTTCCTCCATGTCTTTCCCTAACTGTGCACATATAAAATCCTCAGCTAGCCATTGCTTCATCAAATCATCCTTCAAGAATATGTAGCCCTCTGGACATGTACTAAGATAAAGCAGACATGTCTTCAAATAATGTGGAAGACTATCAAACCTAATGTCTCGATGGAGGGGGCCATTGTCTCGTCAAGCACAACCAGGGAGATCGTCGTTGCCACTCTTGACCCGACGGACGATACGCCGGAACTCGTCCTCACCACACCATCGTCGTTGCCCACAAGGTCTACCACTGAAGAGGACGCTGATCTCTCTGTTCAGGAAGCGACAACACCAATCCACATTCCCTCCTTGAACGCGCGGACGGAGGGCCAGGAGGGCACGCCCATCTTCATCCCGCGCATGCCAGCGCTCCTACCTTCCCCTATTGCAAGCTCCACGCTGCCAAGGGCGCCAAAGGCAAGAAGAAAAACTCTTGCAGGGGTTTCTGGCCTCCAGCTAATTCGACACAGCCCGCGGCTTCAAGCAAAGAACAGGAGCATGCCAATCGCCAAGCTTGCGGAGAAACTCCTGTGTCACCGGATGGGCATCGTGGCCGAGGGAGAGCTGATCACCGAGGCGGCAATAGAGAAATTTGCCTTACTGTTCAAGGGGCGCCTTCTTGACATTGCAATTGCTGCTCTTCGAGCCCTCTTCAGGCTTGACTGCGATCTTTCTGCTGCTGTTGAAGACGCTCTAGTCCAACATGGGGGACAAGGAGGCCTGGACGCGAACGACGCGGCCATGAGCGACACATGATCTTTGTGTCTTTACTGCTTGATGTATCCCTGGTTCAGATATGTTAGACAACAATTTATCCATACTTTGCTGGAACGTGTGTGGACTTAATTGCCCAGACCGGCGTGCTGCTGTTCACGAAACCATTGCCACATCATCCTGTAATCTTGTTTGCATCCAAGAATCGAAGATGCAGACCATTGACGCGTTCATCGCTTCTTATCTGGGCGGTCAACGCCTCATGTAATATCCCAAATTTTTTATTTGAAATGTTATACATAGATCATCCATGCATATCATATTTTACTGCATTTCGTTTCGCGATCCTCGAAATCCTAAGCAACTCAAGGACCCTCGGAGAGTGTTGGGGATTTCATTGCTTTCATATTTGAATTTTATCAAATATTGAAACGAGGATTTTGGTTTTAATTATTTTTCTCTCCGAAAATATTTCATATTAAAATATATGAGAGGAGATAATATGACTTCTCCAAAATAATTAAAATATTGGAGGAAAAATATTAAAATCAAATATTTGATTTATTCGGATTTTATTGCCATTTTATTTGCATTAGAAAAATTGCACGTTTTTCAAAACTACATTTTAAGGCCAAAAAAATGTTCATCTTGTTCTAAATATTTTATTTAGACGGTGAAAATTTGTTTTGGTATTTTTAGATTTTTATTTTATTTTCTAGATTTATTTAAGTTCCGGCGAAATTATTTTTAAAAAAACACTCAGCGCCCGACTGAGCCGGCCTGCTAGCCCCGCGCCGCCGTCTCCCTCCGGGAGACCGCGAGGTCGCCCCGTCGCGACCCCGAGTCCGGCCGGGACTCCGCCTCCCCGCGCCGCTTGCCTCTTCCCCAAGCAGCCCCCCTCCTTAAACACCCCGCCACCGGACCCCCC